GTGTATTTTAGTCAGTCTGCCTGTTCTGCTCCCCACTCTATCTCTGATGAATCCCCTCACCCCTACCCCGTACCTCTGGCCTGTACCCCAGTTCTTATATGCATAATAAATAAATCTTATAAATAAATAATACAAGTTTTATCGAATGCAACCATACCATTCACTTATGAACTGAGTTGGACAGCCAGATACAAAGTCAAAAATGTTTATTTTCTGGTAGATGCTACTTTACTCTCTATATCCACAGAGATCTACTTTAAAGTATGAACTAATTAGAAACTGAGTTAGGAAGATTGTCAAAGATGCAAACACAACCAAAGGAAAGGAGAAAGCAGAACAAAGAAAATGGGCAAAATTCCTAGACAATGAATGACATTATTGGCATAACCTGCATCATCACCATGAGAACCATCCTCAGAAATATTTGAAGATCAAGATATAAAAGTGAATAAGCTACGACTTGATAATTTTAACTCATAAAAGATATTGTAATTATAAAAAAACAGCTTTCAAAAAACCTTATTACAGGACAATTTATCATTACATATATTTATGCCTTACAGGTCAATATAATAAAAACTTGTTCTAAAAGGCTACTCTCCCATATAGCAAAGATAAATGTAACACCATTTTTTCCAAGAGAAAATGAGAATTCAAGTCATACTCAAAGGATGTTTAAAAAAAAAAAAAAGAGAAAATGTTGACTAAGGACCATAATTTTTTTTGTAACTAAGTTTGTATTAATAAAAATAAAAATACCATTTATAAAAATATCATTTAAAAATTTAATAATAAAGATATGCTAAAGCTATCAGTCATATATGATTAACTGTATCCATACTGTTATGTGTAGTCAAGCAGAGTATTGTTTACAAGCGCAGTATTAACCTAATGATACCTGCTGAAGCAGGAACTGAGGACAGCTAACAGGGTTCAAACTAGACTTCCTGCCTTCAGGTTTTCTCCCAAGAGCTATATCCACACGACTGCCAGGATTATCTTCATATCTGGTCAAGTCACTCCTGCTTACAAGATTCCCATAACGCACAACCCACTTGTCAGCTTAATTTTCTAGTCTTTAGGTAACTCACTCCAGTGTTAGCGGCACCCAACACTCACTGCACTTAAAAAGAGCTCTGAAGAGCTAACAGGTAATTCAGCACTAGGCCCTGTGTAAACAACTTCAAATGATTTCTATCAATCATCACAACCACCCTATTGCACAGTTATTATCATTACCACATAAACTCAACCCCCCGTCACACAAAACCTTTTGAAAGCACAGACATGTTTGTATAAAATTTACCAAAAAACATTTTATGCTGCATTTTAAACAGGCCTCACCAAAATGTAAGCATACAGGAAACCTGGAGCTACCCCTGATTATTATTGTCCCCATTTTATTGAGGTCCGGAGAGGTGGGGCCAAAGCATCCACCATGAGGAAGTGACAAAGAGGGATTGAACTCAAGTCTGCCTGTCTTCAGAACCTAAGAGCTTAAATACAGCACTAAGACTTCTTGTTTCCATCTCTTTTCTTCTTCTTATCCTCACCAGATTCCTTTCAGGATCCCACCCTTCCTCCAAAGCCCTACCAAGATGTCAGCCCTTCTTCAAGGCTTTCCTTGACCCTTCTTGGCAAAATGAGATATTTTTAGCTACCCCTATATTTTAAACACAACCACAGTACATACATGAGATAATGTAATTAAAAGAATATGGTTTTTGGAGTCAAACCAAGCTAGTTTGGGGGTAAAAAAAAAATTAACCTCTGAAACCTTCAATTTATTTGTCTTTAATATGGAAGTAATAATTGTTACTATATCTTATGTCCATTCAAGACATACTTACCCAGTGCATGCCAAGTGCGAGGCACAGAGGATACAACTATAAAAACCAGAAGCACCATCCCTTCCCTCATAGAGCTTATCGTCTAGGGAAGGATACCATCAGGTGAACAGATGACAGAAATGTAATGAGAAGAGTCTTTTGAAGAAGACCAAGGCCGAGTATACAAGAACCCAGGGGAAGCACCATGACCTAACTCAGACTGGCGGGGTCAGGTAAGGACAATCAAGATGAGGAGCAATTCAGTGGTAAGTCTCTTAAAAATAAAACAGAGCAAATATTCAAGGCAGATACCTCAAGTAATTTCAATTTAATAAAATACTTCCACTCCACCCACACCATCATCACACGTCCCTCATTTCTTAAGCATTTGAAAATTCCTCTGCATGTCAAGGAGGGGAAACTGATTTTTACAGTAAGTGGGTCACCAAGAATGAAGCTTTGTGTGCTGCTCTGGCCAGTGGGAACCTCCAGACTGAAAGAAGAGGCCAAAGAAATAAAAATCAAATCTGAATGTTTCTCAATCTCTTGTCACAACCATAAGGATTCTTTAACATTTGTTCTTGTTTTCTGCGTTCAAGCATTTCATGACAGAACAAGGAAATCATTTTTACATTTTTCTGGGGGCTGAACTGCTGCATAAAGTGAGAGACAATTGCAGCTTTCAAAAGAGATGCTAATTGCAGCTTTTAAAACATTAGACTCCCTCTAAACACCCATCATCCCCAACCCTACGAGTTCCTGGGTCTTTCTTAAAGGTGCCTGGAGGATGTTGTTGTCCTGTAGGCGTTTGGTCCTACCTAAGGATTTAACAACAGTTCAGTTCTTCAGAAATCATAAGGCCCATTTCTTCAGAACCACTGGAAAGAGGGGCCGTCTTACTTAGACAAGAACTCCCCACAGCAATAGAAAGGCCATATTGGACCAACAAAAGGCAAAAATTCACAACCTCCTCCTTTATTCCACAAAAAATGGGAATTTCCATCTTAATGTAGACTTGCCACCAGCAAGCATCAGGGGTAGGACTCAGAGATGTGCTCTCCCAGAGGTTTTCTAAGCAAAGATAGAGGTGAACAGGAACCAGCTTGGGGAGACCTGCCACTTTTTACTTCCTGGGAGGGTGAGAGGAGGAAAATGTTGTCACGCTGGCAATTCTATTTATAAAGGCTTTTCTTTACAATAAGATGACAAGTTTAAGAGGCAGAAGAGGGGAAGAGAAGCAGCTGCCCACACAGACTATTGCTTTCAATTTAATTATTGGAAAAGCACTCAATTCAGGCCAGAAGAGGGGGAGAGGTGAAAAAAAATAACAAAATATGGACTGAAACCAGCGTCGAGTTATATAAACATGGGGGGAAGGGAAGCAACAATCTAGAGCAAGCCCCATGTTTCTACCAGCAAAGAGGGAAAACGGAGATCCAGGAAAAGTAGTATGTTATTCTTGTCTAGTTACCAATGTTTGTGGTATTCCACTCATAAATGTGAATAACACAAAATCTTCAGCTGTGAAATCTGCCAGATTTTATCATTTTCTGTATATCTATATTTATATCGCTTTTCTGAAAATGGAGCTGCATGCACTCTGGTATAAAAAACAAACTGACCCACCATCAGTGTATGAAAATACTGACAATTGTCAACCCTGCTGGGAAAATATGACTTGTAAACCCAGTTACGAGAATGTCAATTCTCCATCAGTTTCCATCTGCTCCCCAGTTACGCACATTGAAGCTTTAGTCATAGACATAAACCCAGAACAGAGTTGGATTAGAGTCAAGTTAAGGGAGGTGGCTCATTACCTGGAGCCCTAATCCACAGGATCTAAAGAAAAGTTGAAAAGCATCCCTGGTATAAAGTCATATAGGAAAATTTATGTCAAAGACATTTGTGTGATAGAAAAACAACTCTGAAAAGAGGTAGAGATAGGAGTGGTAATAAATCCAACCAGCCCCCCCCCCACGTTTTTTACACATATGCACACCCTGCATCCTCATGTTAGAAAAGTGGCTTCTACACTGTCCTCCAAGGAAAGTGGGTCTCAATGACTAACACCCCATGGGGCTGGGGCTTTGCTGTGTGAGCCACAAGAGGCACACGACCAATGGCTCTTTCCCCTCCAATGGCTCCAGAAAAATGGCTGAGGAAATGTTTGGAGAATAAGAGAAGCCTGCCTGCCTACAGCCCCCCAGGACACCCAGACCTCAATGGTGCCCTGAGCACAGCCAGTGTGACCCCCACACCTCCCGCCCACAACACTGGCTGATATTTCCTGGACCTGCGGGATCTATTTCTCTTTCCTAGTTTGCCCTTGCTCCTCTCAAATGAAAAATTCACATTCTCACAGATCTCACTTTCCTTTGAGGCTATCAAAATATGCAATTAAATTGATCAATATCAGGAGATTTTACCCCAAGAGGGATGACTAATAATTAAAAAAGGGCTTGGTAATCTAAAAGAACTCATGGTTAAATGCATTTGGAGATCTTCTATTAACAGTGATGGCTCCTTTTAAACATCTTCCTGTTTACTTTGCCTTCGCCTCTCACATCCCAGATACTACCTACTTCCTTATAAGCACTTGCCATTTGCCATTCATTCTGACTCAGTTGCCTGCAGGCGGTGACATAGTTAAGAAGCTGAAGCTTAGTCCTAGATTTTTAGTGCAAAGCTCAATCTGCATCTTCCACATTTAAATATTCTAAAATTTATTCCTTAATATATGATGGAGAAAAATTCATAAATTTCTAACCCCACCACACCCAAAGCAAATACCATCTATTATATGACTTTGCACAGATTCCAAATGATTTGAGAACATAACTGAAAAGTAACTTAAGTCAACAGCATCCATCAGGAAGGCAATGAAAATGGATTCCCTTCTAAGAGAAATCACTTTAAGAAGCAGTTGGGGAAGCAGAGGGGAGGGAAGGAGAAGAAAAAGGAGGAAAACCAGATTTCAACTTGGCATTTACTTGAAGAGGAGCCAACAGAATGGTCGTGCATAGACAGTTTCACAGCCCAGAGGGAGGGCATCACTCAGAAGGTTTCCTTGCTGCTATTAAATTTCTTTGGTGGCAGCTTTGGCTGGGAAGGTAAAGCACAAACGTTGCGCTCGGGGTTCTGAGGACCAAGAGGTGGTGTCTGCAAACTTACGGGGATTGACCGGCTCAGGAATCTCGATGACGAGGAGGAGAGGCCTGTGTAGGAGGGTCGAAGGACAGCGGTGTGCTCCTCTGTCTTGGTGCTGAGGGGGGTCGGCTGGCTGTTCAGGGCGTTGCCGCTGCTGCTGTTGCTTCTGCTATACTGGTTGTTGTTGAGCTCAGAGAAATTTCTAGAAGGTGGCTGGGAGCTGCCATTCAAGAGGTTGATGAAGGGGGTAGCTATGAAACCCGCCTTTGAGGATGAGGAGCTCTTTTTGTTCTCTGGATCCTCTGTTGCAGCGTTCAAATTCCCTAGAGAACTGGCTAGCCGGGTGTTTATGGAAAAGCTGAATGGAAAACACAGGTGAGGGGGAAAACACAGACAACAATGTATACTCACAATGAGTTCATGTTTCTAGAACACATTTATGACATTACGGGAACTTGATGAAGACAGTTCTGATCAATGCAGAGGGTGACAGAATAGCTTCTTCCACTTTTTGGAGATGTTATCCCACATGGCCTCTAGTCACACTGTCAAATTCCTCTCTCAAAAGCAGTTTAGACCTAAGAAGCTGGCTAGAACACTTTGCCCAGAGATCCTGAAGTAGAACATCTGGTATTTCTATTTGTCCTGAAGCAGGAAATAAATTCACAGGACTCAAAAATGACAGGGTAAAAGCCAGACTTAAATATAAGATTTAACTTAGAGTTATTCAATCACATGACTCCATCGAATGTCCCTACCCATTTGAGTTCTGCCCACACAGATCCAAGGGGAAATGATAATCCCATATATCATTAGTTTGTGCAACTGAACTGTTTTCTGGATCATGTTTGGGAAGCTTGAAATAAGACTATGGAGACGGATGCTAGCCAGTCTTCCTTCCACATGGAAGGAAGGACAAGAGAAGGCCACAGAGGGTCAGAGAGCTCCTTGTGGGTCCTCTTCTCCCTAGTCCTTGGTTCTGACAAACTTCAATCAAGCTCAATGTCTACGGCAGATTTCCTTTAGCTCCCACCAGAACCTCTGAAGAGAGAGACTAGATTACCTTCTTACACTGGCACCTGTGGACAAAGAGCCTCTGCTGATCCTCTTGGCTGTTGCTGAAGGGGATGATGCCACTTTTGAGGGCTTCAAAGTCAATGCAGATCCTTGTGGGGAAGAACTCAATCTTTGTGGAGGAAAATTGGCAAAGGGTCACAGGAGAGCAATCAAGTAGGGCAAGAAAAACATTAAAGGGGTCACGGCACATCCTAACAGTGGTGACAGCCGTCAACACTAAGAACTTTTCAGACATTAACTCAGCTCATATGACCTAAGAGGGAGCCCAGATTGCATGCTCTTCTTTGCACATGAGGAGGCAGAGGCACAAATCAAAATTCCTTTTCCAAAGTCTCTCGGTAAACAAGTGGCACAGTTGGGATCCAAAGTCTTGCTCTTAACCATGATCCCACTGTGCTTAGTCACTTTCCTTCCCTGCACCTGGCATTCATTCCTTGCCTGTTCTTAGATTCTACTTCTCTATGTTGGAAACCTATCCTCTCTTTCTACCCTGCCATAGCTCTAGGGAAGTCATCATTGCTTCTGATCTTTGACAACTGGTAGCATCTTCTAATCTTATTCCTTAAAATTCAAATTCTGAAAAGACTCCAGAGAAATCTAAAATATCTAATCGTGTTGCTTCACAGTTTAAATCAGGTCATCTTGGGCTTCCCCAGTGGCACAGCCAGTTGAGCGCAGCGCTGTGAAGCTGTCCACAGACTCTGCAGCATGGGTTCGATTCCCAGCAGGCCAGGGAGATTCCCACATGGCGCGGCAGACCTCTCCTGTCACACCCGCTGCTCCCCTCAGCAGTGCTTTTGGTCTGTCTGCCTGTTCTATTGCCCACCCTGTCTCCGGTGAAACCTCTCACCATCCCATGCCTCTGGCCTGTACCCCAGCTATTGTATAAATAAAAAACAAATCTTTTTTCTTTTTTGTGGGACCCTCGCCAGTGGCTGGAGAACAAACCGGCACTGCAGAGGCTGCGGGCAGCCTCACAGCCCTGCACTCAACTGCTGTGCCACCAGGGGAGGCCCAATAAAAAACAAATCTTTAAAAAAATAAATAAATAAATCAGGTCATCTTTCTTGGGTTCCCAGAAAGCCAAAATCCCTTGACTTGACTTATAAAACTCTTCAAAACTTGGTGTTTGAGCAGGTTCCAATGATCTACAATTTTCCACTGGATGCCCCAGTTATACAAAACACCCCAAGTTCCCTGGATAGACTGCCTTCACTGTGATCTAGCATGCAGACACTGCTTCTCCTGTCAGGCATTTTCTCCTCTGCCCCCTCCATTCACCTCTTCTGTTCTGCCTCCAGCTGACTCACTCTTGTTGCTTATCTTCTAATGGACCATCAGCTGTTACCACAGCCAGCAATCCTTTACTGAATCTCCAGACAGGGTAAGCGTCCCTTTTCATTATATATCTCACAGTAAATCACAGTTCTTACTCCACATTTCACTATCTGATATCTGTCTTTTACCCTTGATATAAGCTGCACCAGGAGTAAAGAACTCATTGTCTTTATTCACTGCAATTGCCAATGACTAGCACAGTGCCGGACTCAGTGTGCTCAATAAGCATTGAATGAGTAGACAGAAAGGAAAACTGACTCAACGCTGGACAGGGCCTCATCATGGCTCTCATGCCAAATATGTTTTATCCTGACAAACCACGTAGAGCTGGATCTTGTCTTCCTATCTGCTACAGAAAAACTTCTGTACTTATAGATTCTTTCCTTCACCCTCCCTCCCAACAGCAGCTTAAGCACATGGTTTGCCTTTAAGACAAAAATGGGGAAAAATGAGAAAAGAAAGAAAACAATACAAAAATGGGAAAAGTTGTACAATGAAGGAGCTCAAATTTTAGGAGACATCTAAGTCCTCTCAGAACTGCCTCCACCATACAACTGCCAACCCAGAGCTGACTAACACCAGCAGGGAGAAGTGAATCTTCTCCTTTTTTGCCTATCTCATCAATAGTTTTGGGCAAACATTTCTGCTGTTCTATCAAGGCCTCCATTCTATCAAATGCCACCTAGGAATGTTTAGGTGGCATTTTCCCACAGAGAAATGAAATACAGGGGGACAGAAGACCAAAGGGCTAAGTCTATTGCTGGACTGAAAAGGCACGTGGCAGCGTGACTGTCATTTATTAGTGACCCCACAGCACGCTGGGAGCACAGAGCACGCTGACATCAGTACCGCAGCCACCCAGCCCTGTGGGCACCTCAGGAAACAAAAATCCTTTTCAAAGTGAGCATAAAAAATAAAGCATCTCTGGGCCTTCCCTGGTGGCTCAGGTGGTTGAGCGCAGCGCTGTGAAGCTGTCCGCAGCCTCTGCAGTGCTGGTTCAATCCCGGCCGGCCGGCGAGGGTCTTACATGGTGCGGCAGACTTCTCCTGTCTCGCCCGCTGCTCCCCTCAGCAGTGTATTTCGACAGTCTGCCTGTTCTGTTGCCTGCTCTGTCTCTGGTGAATCCTCTCACCCTCCTGCGCATCTGACCTGTACCCCAGTTCTTATATAAATAAATAAATCTTAAAAAAAATAAAGCATCTCTCAACAATCTCCAACAGAAAGGAAAGCATTTCCAAAGCAAAACACTACTTGAAGTTTGTTTTCAGGGGTTTAAAGGTTGGGGAATGTAGTTAAAAGGTAACGATTATTGACAAGCATCTGGAAGGCCACCCTCACTGGCAGTACCTGAAGGGCTGGGACACTGCTCTAGGATGCCCTTTCATGTCTTCCAACCTGGAAATCAAAGACAAATGCTCACACATCACCAGTTTCTCACATTTAAACAAAGACCAAGACACATCGTATGGAATCAGGCTAGTTAAAACATTAAATTGGTAAAAAAGGAGAAACTTTGCAAATGGTGATCAGTACTCATTTACTTTATACAATAAATCCTAAAACCAGAGAAAATCCATTTTAGTTGTTTTATTTCGTCTCGAATTTCATTTACCTCAAATTGCTTTTTAATCAGAAGATAGTACTGCATCTATTCAAGGTAAACAATGTTTGATCATGATATGGTTAATAAAGACTAATTTCAAAGAAGTGAGAAAATTTCTGAAGATAAAGGGGGAAAAAAGAGAGACTTCTAGGATTTGTGTAGCTGAGATTCTCCCACTTCTTTTGTCTATTTATTTGCCAGTTACCCTCCAACTTATTTCTTCCTCCCTCTCTTGATTTCTGAGGGCTAAAATACAAATCTGCTTGAAATTGACTATAATCGATCTAAAGCAAGTTCTCAGAGTTTCGAGGGACAAAATGATATTTTTCAAGGACTGGTAATGTAAACTGCTCTTGAAGAATCTGCTGTCAGCTTAGGCAAATGAGTACAGCCTTGGAACAGTACTGGGTTTGAATATCAACTCTATTCAACTCCATTCCTCCAGGGAGTGATTTAACCTCTCTAACCTCAAGCAGCCAACTCAAACGTGGGTAGAGATACATACTTTTTGTGTTAACTCAATTAATCCTCATACCCACACTAAGTTCCAGGCTTACTATGCAATTTTACGTAGAAAACAATTAATTCAACTTTGAGCTATAGGAGCCTTTATTTCCCAGGTTAAGAGAACAATATTCAAAGTATCAGGAATGGTGTAACCAGACCAAATTTGATGTAAATGTTATATAATTCTCCCAGATGACACACGAAAGCTAAATTCCCATGTGAGTCTGTGCACATTATCTCACTTGTCAAATGTCCTTCCTGCTATGTATGTCTCTACTTAAAATTCAAACAAAAGCAGTCATTTCCCATTATTTTCATTTGTGAACTTGCTAGTCCATTCATTATAATAGAGAATCTTGATGATAATTACGGTTTTTGCAGCTACATTGGTCCTAGAGCCTTTTTTTAAAACCTCACCTGAACTATGAGCAGGTCTCAAATGTTGAAATCTGACGTCAAATCCCATCAATTGATCGTGATGAGTAACTTCAGATTTCTAAATTAGGATCGTTTCTATCTTTACACACACAGGTAGAATCACAGAAGGTAAACTTAGGTGTTAGGACCTACTAAAACCTGAAAGTACATTTCTGCACTCTGTGAATTCAATGCATAAGCCCCAGCACACTTTTGAGGATTTGCCACATGATAGGAAACCCACTCACAAGAGAAGAGTAGAATTCTAAATGGAATTTGGACGAGTTCCAGAGACAACTAACTGCTTACAAACTGAAAGTGGAATTTTCAGAGATTGAGATGCAGCAGTTACTTTCAATAAGCTTCTAAAACTTTGTTGCTTCCTACAGTAATCAAATTATAAACAACACAAAATGTTAATAAGCCAAAAAAGAGAGATAAACATGGTACTCAGAGATTATTAAAAAGGAAAGATTAAATGTTCAAAACATAAATAGCAGCACAAAATAAATTTTAAAGTTTCAAACGAATCTACCTAAATGCACAGGATGGTGAAGAGCGTGGCTGTCTCTGACTCTTTAAGGCACGTAGTTTATCTCCCTGCGTGATATTATTTTTCATTTCCACATCTTCATCCTTTTCTAAATTATTCTGAAAAAAAAACACATGTTCCATAGAAAGATCATTATGAATAATTTTTCTTTATAGAAGTTTCTTAATAGATTATAGATTATGGATATAACTTATACAGATTATCTTAAATAGCCTAAATATACTATGAATTCAGCAATGTCCACTTTCATACTAAAGAATGCACAACTATTTGCCAGTTAAATATACTTGTGAAATTCCACAAAGAGGCATGGGTATGAATGTGGAGGAATTTTTTATTTTATTAATTTACCATTCGTTTACACAGCTAGAAAATTTCAAGAATACAGCTTCACACCTCAATACGTGCATGTGTTGTATTCACCCATGACCAAAGTTCTAGTGCCATTACATTATCAGAATGACCCCCCCCTTTTTTTGTCACCACTTTCCTGTGCCCTCTGCACCATATATTTCAGAGTCTAAGAGTTATTGTTATGTTTTGTCAGTTGTTTTCTTTGATTATTAATATGCCACAAATGAGTGAAACCGTCAGTAATTCTTTCTTTTTTGACTTATTTTTCATACCATAATCACCACAAGATTCATCTATTTTGATGCAAAAGACAAGACTTCATCCTTTTGAAGAGTACGTTGTTTTCCTCTGAGTAAATATACTGAGTGTTTTGGGACCGTATCTGTTACAGTGAACCACAACCACAGAGACCCTCATATGGACTTAATCATAATTAGACAGGCTGGCTCAACAGACACAGCACAAATAGTTTTCAGAAACTACTAGGGTCCATCTCTGCTCATTCCATGAATTATAAAAACGAAAGATGTAACTTATTAACACCACTTAATATTAGTAAGAGTACTCAAGGGCCTCCCTGGTGGCGCAGCGGTTGAGTGCTGGGTTGCGAAGCTGCCCGCAGCCTCTGCAGCGCCGGTTCGATCCCCGGCTGCTCCCCGGCCACTGGAGGAGGGTCCCGCATGGCGCGCGGACCTCTCCTGCCGCCCGCTGCTCCCCTCAGCGGTGTACTTCGGTCCTTCTGCCTGCTCTGCTTCCCGCTCTGGCTCTGCTGAATTCTCTCACCCTCCCGTGCTTCTGACTGTACCCAGTGCTTGTATAAATAAATACAATAAATAAATAAATCTTTAAAAAAAAAAAAAAAAAAGAGTACTCAAGGCCTTTCCAGAAGGAGTTAAAGAACTGCTCACTCATTTGGGAAAGTGTGTTCCTGCTGAAATAAGTCTTTTGGTTTGGAAAATGTGAGGGCCCTGCTAGATCATTTTGCATGCCAGTTCACACATATTCTTACAACCTGGGAGGGGGAACTTAAAGGTGAAAAAAGGGACGCATTCGTGGAAATTAATAAATTGCCCAATCTCCCCTAAACTCCTCATGAGAGAACTATATTTTATATTCAGATCCCTGTCCCCAGATGTAAATATTCTTTTTAAAACATGCTGTAGCACACTAACACCATACCAAGAAAGAGTATATTTCACCTGGTTCCTCACCTGAAAAAATTAAAGGGTTTGAGCTTGCTAAGTATTCCTTTCACTCATAATTACCTCCTCTCTTGACAGCCATAACTGGTTTCATGAAAAATATACAAAAATAGACTTCCCCTGGCCAATTCCAGTCATTTTTGGTAGACATTCCTGGATCAAAATAACTTTTGGGGTTTAAAAGAATGATTATTGATATGGACAAACTTTCTCTTGATCTTTGACCAATACTTTTTTAAATGATTTTTTAAAATTTTCTATTGCTTTCAGAGTTTATTGGATCATGAAACCATTTGGTTTATTCATGACTCCTATAATCTTTGGCATCACTGATGGCCCAATGCTCTCCAAAATTTTGGCAATTTTTTTTCTAGGGGTTCTCAAGAAATATCTAAGTTCTATACTTCCCTGGGTTTAGTGTAAAATGTATTGACCACATTAAAAGACTATAAATTAGTTCAGAAAATTAAGACTCCTTCTAGTTTGCTGCTTAAATCTCAGTATGAAGAAACCACATGACAGACTAGATGGAAATATGAAATTTTAATCAAACATCTTTTGCTAAAATACTCTTCAGTTTGATCCCTACTTTAGAAAACATATGCATACTCCCAATTGTTATCTGTCGAAAATCCACTAAACATCTCTAATAACCTACTTCAGGTTATTATGAATTGTTAATGACATAATATATGTATATGCTTTTATTGCTAAATTAATATATTTTAGATGTTATGATTTTATATAAGTAAAATTTAATTATTTAAAGTTTATAAAAAGTCATAAACTTTATTATAAAAGTGAGTACTCAAAAAGTGTGTGTGTGTGTGTGTGTGTGTGTGTTCAGTCCTTGCCACTTTCATTCAGTTCCACAGTTACATCTGGGGCTCAGCAGGCATTTCTTGGGTAAAAAGATCTCATCTCACTACTATAGTCCTCAGTTTAAAAGAGACATACAAGCACATGGTCAGTGGGAAAGAAGGCAAAATGAAGATGAAAGTTTCCTAAAGAAAGCAATGCCTTAGGGCCTCCCCGGTGGCACAGTGGGTTGAGTGCAGCACTGTGAAGCTGTCCACAGCCTCTGCAGCGCGGGTTCAATTCCTGGCTGGCCAGGGAGCTACCCACGTGGAGCGGCAGATCTCTCCTGTCTCACCCGCTGCTCCCCTCAGCAGTGTATTCAGTGTATTTCAGACTGTCTGCCTGTTCTGCTCCCCACTCCGTCTCTGGTGAATCCTCTCACCTGCCCATGCCTCTGGCCTGTACCCCAGTTCTTGTATAAAAATATAGATCTTAAAGTTAAAAAAAAGAGATAACTTAAAAAAAAAAAAAAAAAGAAAGAATGCCTTAGCTGAGTCTTCAAGAATGAGGGCAAGTGAAACAGGCCAAGGTCACAGGAAGGAAATCCTGCCAAAGAATACGAGTGACAGGATCACAGAGCTTTAAAGTCAGACAATTTCCTTTGGAGCTATAGACAGTGGCCTGTCCATAGGTCGCCAGGAATAGCCCATATGATTTATTGTGGTCCAGGCAACCCGAGGGGAGGATCCCTTATTACCCAAGGAATTTAGCATGGAACAGAAATCAGGCAAACCTGAGGACAGGGCTGCTAAGAGGCTGGTACTCCTGAAATCAGCATGGTACACCTGAGAAGCTTAGCTTACCCAGCCCCCCTTACCAGGCTGGACAGCTACCGGTTGCTTTTATTCCTCAGGGCAGGACCAGCACACAGCCAGTGTCTCCAGAATGTGAGAAGAGGCCAAGAAGCATGTTAGCCTCCATGAGAGGGGCAGAGAAAGCTTCTTGAAGGAGAGACCCCCAAATCAGTTCATTTCAATGTCTAATGTATACTTCTGTGGAAACACTTGTTTGTCCTTCGCTAGGAGAGCCTTTGTGTTCCCAGTTCTGAAATGCCTTCAAAACTCTAAGGAAAAGTGATCCTCAGCCTGGAATTGCAGAATTCAACCTATCAGTCAAATGAATCAAAGGTATCAAAATTTACCTCCCACACAAGCTTTCTGAGAAAACTATTCTAGGATGTGCTTCAAGAAAGGAGAAGAACATACGAGATTCAGGAAAATGAGGGATCCAACTGCAGAATGGGAAGAGAGTCCACAAGTCAGAATCACATACTGGATGCGTTGGAAGCTTTTGCAAAAGCAAAAATTCTATTCCAAGTGCAATCTTGAACAACGCCAGAGATGAATATAATAATAAAAAAGTGAAGTGATAGGGCCATTTCAGCCATATAAGCCACTCTCTCCTATTTATAAGAACCTCACGTTTGGGGCTTCCCCTGGTGGTGCAGCAGTTTTGCGCTGGGCTGCGAAGCTGCCCGCAGCCTCTGCAGTGCCAGTTCGATCCCCGGCCATCGGCGAGGGTCCCACATGGCGCACAGACCTCTCCTGCCACGCAGACCTCTCCTGCCACGCCTGCTGCTCCCCTCAGCAGTGTATTTTGTCAGCCTGCCTGTTCTGTTCCCCGCTCTGGCTCTGGTGAATTCTCTTACCCTCCCGCACATCTGACTGTACCCAGTGCTTGTATAAATAAATAAAGCTTTTTTAAAAAAGAACCTCACGTTTGCACAAACAAACCAACGCTGTAATGCTATTCAAAATACATCTGAATTAATGTAAAACTTAAGGAAACAAAAATCTATGTGGAAGAGGAACTCAGGCCTCCTAGAATTCTGAGTATTACACACAAAGACTTCTATGTGTCCTATTGGGTATTTAGCAGAGACCTTAACCATGCAGGCCACCTGGGAAGGTTTGAAGACTTCTCAGGTACTGTTAAGCCTCACTTTTGGTATCTAATTCATTCTTCATGGTGACTAATGATTAATCAAGAATGACCAAAGGGGAGAACCTACCAGAGCCTGCCTTGTGCTCTCAGTCCCAGTACCTCTCCACAGGGAACCCAATGCACAATCTCTGGCCCAGCTGCTCCAGGACCAGCAGATTCCATGAAATCGAGCCACATGGCTGCTGTGAAGCAACAGTGAAGCAGCAGTCCCGGGGAGACCTCATCTCTTTGCTTCCCAAGGAGCAGTTTCAGACCCCTATCACCCTCTGGAGAATATGCGCATCAGTGCTGTCTTTTGAATTCCAGCTTGGCCTCCATAAAGGCAGGAAAATGAGAGCCAACTACACTACATAAAGAAATGCCATTTTTCAAGATAGACTTCTTTATAGATTGATAGTCCAGCTAAAGAATGGTATAAAGTATAAAGATTTATTTTGCTCTACCAGTTATTCTCAATAAACACACAAAGAGAAAACCAAACTAAAATCCATTAAATTGCATCCACAGATTTCAGCTGGGTAAAGTAACTACTGACCAGTACATTAATAAAACAGTGACAGAAAAAGTTACTGGGCAGCCTGTGGTGTCTGCCATTAAGGAAAGATCTATTAGATAAAATATAGCACAGTAGAGAATAAAGATGGAAGAGCTATAATAGAAAAATGACATAAAAGGAGAGTTTGAAATAGAAATGAGTAAAAATAGAAGTCAAGGATTGGAAGAAAAGGATGAAAATGGAACTCTTAGCAGATTTTTAAATGATTTGACTATGAAAGGAGACTGGGTCATCTCTCAAGCTCTTTTTAGCTCTCAGATATTGAACTCGTGAGATACAAACATTAGGGAAAGGCAAAGATAGTATCTTCATAATAAGCTGCTTCTCATCAATAAAAATTGTGGGTTATCAGAGCCCCCCAAAATCATCTCCTTTCCCTCTTCATGGTTCACCCACCGTCCACACCACAGCAGACTGACTCTAACAGCCTCTGTGCATCTCAGCAGCATTCAGGTTGGAAATGGAATGCTTAGTGGTCCCCCGAATGGAAATGGTACACACACACATACACACGCACACACACATGCACACACACACTACTCAGCTATTAAAAGTTAAGATGAAAGTCAAACCTTAGAATTTAAGTTTTATTCACACAGATTTTTTTTTCCAAGATGTACCATGCTTATGAGCATTTGATGTAAAAGAGCAAAGGATTTAATTATCACAGTATTTCAGAGATGTAGTTAAAACACCACATCCTTATTTATCTGATTGTCAAGTGATGTGAATTCAGCGGAACATTAGCAGCACCTGCATCTAATTAATATCAAGAGCATCTACTGATTGGTGTGCTAATATTGGACTATGGCCCTAGGGCAGGAAAAGGTAAAAACCGTCACATTTCTAGGAGAAAAGAAAAAGGACATTCTGACTATATCTATGCTCAAAATCACTGTATGTGATGTACTAGAGCCACACTGAGGACCTCAGTGAGTGTAGACTCTGGAGTGCCGGGTTCAAATGACAGCTCCAACACATACTTTGTGTTCTTGGGCTAATGGCTTAAACTTTCTCTGCCTCGGTCATGTCATCTGTAAATTGGGCCTTCTAAAACCACAGCCTTGGGGCCTCCCTGGTGGTGCAAGGGGTTAAGTCTCAGCACTATGAAGCTATCAGCAGTGAGTGCGGCATGAGTTCATTCCCTGGCCAGGGAGGTGACCCACGTGGCACAGCAGACCTCTCCTGTCTCACCCTCTGCTCCCCTCAGCAGTGTATTTCAGCCAATTCGCCTGCTCTGTTCCCCATTCTGTCTCTGGTGGATCCTCTTACCCCCTGCTCCTCTGACCTATCCCACAGTTCTTGTATGCAAAATAAATAAATCTGAAAAAACAAAAAAAAAAAAAAACCAATTAAAAAAAGCCTCATCCATGACTATGGCCTGAATCATTCTGGTTAATACTTTTATTTTCCTTTCACCCACCTCCTAACCACCAAAAAACCATATATTCACAACCTTATTGCCTATTGATAGGTGACTGGTAAAGAAGTTGTAGTACACACACACACACACACACACACACACACTACTCAGCTATTAAAAGTTAAGATGAAATCTTGCCTTTTGTGATAACGTGACTAGAACTTGAGGTGATTATGCTAAGCTAAATAAGTTAGAATGTGACTGGCAAATACCAGATGGTTTCATTCATATGTGGAATATAAAAAACAAACTGGCAAAACACAACAAAAATAACTTTTAAACTCAGACACATATAGTGACTGCCAGAGGTGAAGGGGGGTGAGCAGTGAGCAGAGGGGGATCCCTTTGATGTGTGATGACACTAGAGCTTTGGTGGTGAATGAGTGATGCATAGACCTCTATTGAGGTGTGAAGCTGTATTCCTGGTATTAAAGAGTTTTGTAAATAAGTGGAATTTCAATAAAATATTAAATAAAGTGCTTTTAAAAACCCATATATTAAAATTCTCCAAATCAGTCAATGAGAGAATTTCCTAATAACCAGTCACAGGAAAATTCCTATAGGCCTAGGAATCAAAAAAAAAAATTAGCACCTGCTTTCAATTTTACTTTGAAAAAAAGTAGCTAGGCTTTTAAAGCCTTGGATAAACTATTTCTTCAGTTGTCACATTAAAATGTTTCTTCTTAATACTTGTTTCCATTTTCAAGTAAAACCTTTGCTTTTCTACTTTCTTTCTGTAACTATTCTCCAAATCAGAGTATCCTCCTTGACAATTGTACTCCTTTAAATTACAGCTTTTTCCTTTTTAAAAATAAAATCTCTATGTACAAAGTAAATAAATCCAGAATTTCCATGGGCTCCCACTCTGAACATTGGTATGGAACTTGAAACACTAAATCATTGCAGCATTCTCAACTTTATTTTCCTACTGGGAATTCACAAGAATGATAAAGATATCACAAGCTGTGATACAGTCACTTTGAATAAACTGACTTCCTAGAGTCATGGAATGTTCTGAAGCCAGCACCAGATATACTAGTAAAAAGGAGGAGTCGCACAAAGTATCACCTAACTATGAAGTAGTCCAGAACCCATATATGTCACTGTCTCAAAGATTAATCATACCATTATTCTCTGGCATTTCTCAATTCTTTTATATCTGACCCCTAAAATGCAAAAACAATAACACTTATGAATGACTAGACTAAAATAATTATTTGGGGGCCTCCCTTGTGGCCTAGGGGTTAAGTCTCTATGCTACCACCCCTACATTCTGAGTTCAATCCCTGGTCAGGGAGCTACCCACATATAGCACAGCAGACCTCTCTGGTCTTGCCCGCTGCTCCCCTCAGCAGTGTTTTTCAGTCTGCCTGTTCTGCTTCCCACTGTCTCTGGTGAAACCTCTCACCCCCCACACCTTTGGCCTACACCCCAGTTCTTCTACCCATAAATAAATCTTTTTTAAAATAATAATAAATAATTATTTTGGAGGGTTGCATAGCATAGGGAGGAGGCAAAACAGCCGACATTTGAACATATGTTCATGTTTAAAATAGACTGATTTTCAATTTCACTCATATTGTATGTTTTACTCTCCCAGTGATAAATCAATATTATTCTCAAATTCAACAAATGAGGAGCTAAAAACAAAATGAAACTGAAATTTCTAACTTCCAGATGTTAATTTAATACAGATTTTTATATAGAAAGCATTGTTTTACTTATGCATGATAAATATGTCTCTCAGCTAGATGAATATATGCTATGTGTCTTTTCAGAGGTCATAACTCAAGGCCCTATTTATTTGAACTCTTTCTGGGAAGGAAATGCTGACCAGAGCAAGAAAAGTTTTCTTTCATAGCTGTATTATCACATTAATATGTCAGTTCAGATCCGTTTTGTTTGCTTTGAATAGGCCAAACTACAACACAGAGACAAGAAAAGTCAACAAAGACACTTAACATCAACATGACCTTGGCTAAGATTTACATTTCGTCAGGACAGATGACTCAAACAAGTAAACATAGCCACTTCATCTGTGGCTGTCCTAGAGAACATATCATAGGGCTGAAAATCAGTTCCTTCAGCATTAGCCATCCTTTGTCTTTGGGGGGAAAAACCCACCTCACTCTCCCCATCTTCAAGCACTCAGGTTAGCTTTCTTGATTAAAGGAACAGGTTTGGGGTGCCAGTCATTGACCTAAGAGTTATGATGCCTCTCCTCCATGTTGCCTTCTAAGAGGGTGTTTAAGCTTGAGCCACAGTTTTCTGTTCAAAGTCCATGTCCTGGTCAATTGGGTCACTGCCCAGCAGAATGTAAATCTATACTTGCTGCTTAAATATTTTTAACAGCTTTATTTGGCCATATAAAAATATAAATGTAATCCAGGTGCTAAACCTCACCTGAGGCATACTAACTAAATGAGGAGTTAGACTCCCAGTTCTCGGTGTAAACAACTCTGCAGCCTTATGTAAGTCACAGATTTTATGGGACTTCAGTTTCTGATCCACACAAGAAGGAAACTAAAATGCAAGATTTCCATATTGTTTCCAGTGCCAAAAATACCGATAAGCCTAACTCTTAGTAACGTCACCTACATTTTTTATATTCAGAGGTAGTAGAGTATAATAGAAAGAGCAGATTTAGAATCAGTTATATACATGGATTGAATGATACTTCTAACACTGAAGTTGGAACTTCTCTGCTTTTCAATCTTCTTACTAGAGAAGAGATAATATTACCTAACTCATCACCCTGCAGTTATAAAGATTAAGTAAGTCAGATAATGTATGCAAACCATTTCAAGTGGCTTGCTTACATTAAAGCCTCAATTTTAAAAAGTTGGTCCTAACTATGTTTTCAATTATGGACTTAACTTCAGAAGTCAACAGGAATTTCAGGCTTTTAAAATAACGCCTTGGATAGGTACATTTCTTCAGCTGTCACATTAAAGTGTTTCTTTTTAACACTTATTTCCACTTCAAATAAAATGTTTGCTTTTCTATTTTCTTTTTGTAAATAGTCTCCAAATTAGAATAGCCTCCTTTATAACTATGCTCTTTAAATTACAGCTTTTTCCTTTTTAACAATAATCACTTTCTTTGCTTCCATTCTTCCTTTATAGCTGGATGATTCTATATCTAAAACTTTGGTATCATCAGCATCTCAAAGGAGAGATACCGCTATGTTATACGTGCTCAACTGGGAAACAAATGAGGTTAGTCTTAACAGACACAAAACTCTTCTTGAGGAAAACTTACCTCTCCAAATCTCTCCACATTTTGTGTTTTAGGTAAGTTTCCACTGATAGACATATCATCCAAGCTAGAAAGAATTTTATTAATACCTCCTTCACTGGATGGTCTATTTTTCAGTTTGGATCGAAATATGTCTCCTTGGACCCACAACGATGCCTGTTTCCTGGCAAAAGAAGAAAAAACAAAATAATCAAAATAAATTAGTATCAGATCTTCAAAATTATGATATGTAATAGACAAAAAGATTAAAAAATAAAGATTTACAAATCAAGCTGGGAAAAGTATGAAATCTTAGAATACAGAGGAAAAGTTACTCTCTTAGAACCAAAATAAATTATATCAAAGTTGTATTTAATGCAAATACCTATCTTCAAAGATATATCTACAAAGCCATACATGAGGCAACTATAAATCAGAGACATTCTGCAAGGGAAGGAAAGGCAGAGGGATCAAAACAGGGGAAGAAAAAGCAAAAGGTACTATGGTGATGGTGCACAGGTGAATTGGTGGTGTGAATTTCACAGGGACTACACCGGAGAACAGAAAGCATACATTGTACAAAAATGAACAATGATGTAAAATATATATATAATAAAATTAAGCCATACATGAGCTGATTATTAAATTTCCCTGATACTTATAACACATTCCATAGCTATAAAGACTGTGAGCCCATCTGTCTTTTAAATATGAATTTAAAATCTGTATGCTAATCTACAAATAGTAATCTGATATCTATTAAAATAGCTGTAGTGAACTGGACCCAAAGATCTAAAGGAAAGAACCTGAGTTTGATGGACATATTACCTCATAAAAAGTACAAAACACCTAATTGTGTGTGATACCACGAAAGGCACTGAGTACACCTTTAGAAACTCACTCTTCTAATCTAAAAACAAGGCTTATCATTCAATTAGGTTACCCTTAGGAGGAAAAGAAAAAGAAAATATGAAGTTCATCTATAAGCTTCCTTTCAGTCAGTAAAGTACAATTACAAATTTTCCGGATTATAAGGAAAGAATTGAAAATATTTAAGCAAAATGACAGGTTGGAGTTCCAATTTTTATTGATGGAGTCCCCTTCATATATTTCTTTTAATATAAGTTACTGCATAGAACAGTTTTTGTTCTATTCTGTTGTATTTGGTCTATTGTGTTTTAGGTAAGTTTCTACCGATTGACATATCATCCAAGCTAGAAAGAATTTTATTAATTCTTCACTGGATGATCTATTTTTCAGTTCTATTCTCAACCACACTGTCATACAGAACACAATTAAACTGAAAGCATATGCTCATAATAAGGAATAGTAACATCCAACAAAATGGTATCATTATCAAGAATGCTGACAAAAGAACAGATATCTTTTTTAAAGTAACAGAAAGACCAAGGAATAATATATCTTAAATATTCCATAAATTACATAAAATTCAGATTAAAACGAGGAAAAACAACAACAAAAACCCTTGCTACATTGTATTGTCTCATTGGGGTCTCAGGAAAGGAATCCCTCTTTCCTTTAAACAAAGGTTATTCTCAAATCAGAATGATATTGTTTATGCTTAAATACTATTAAAAATCTGGAAGGTTAACCTGTAAATTACAACAAAATTATATCCCCCCCAGCTCTCAAACTAGAAAAACCCCACATGTAGGTATCATCCTACTGAAATACACACATGAATAAAAAAATACAAAAATGTTTGTTGCAACATTACTTGTAATAGTAAAATATTGGTGCCACCCTAATGGACAAGAAGCTTATTAAATCACAGCAGCTCCATCCTGTGAAATATTATACAGCCACTAAAAAGTTTGGGATGGATATGCATGTGTTGACAGGGAAGAAAGGCCATGAAATAAAGTATTAATGAGTGCAAAATAAAATGACACATTATGGAAAGTATGATCCCATTTTTGTAAAACCAGGAAGAAAGTTATAATGTTAACAAAAAGTTCATTGTTATCTAGAATATAAACTAAAACATTAAGTAGTTACCCCTAAGAATGGTGACAGGGAAAATTTTGCTTTCTATTGCATGTCTACAATGATAGACTTTTAAAAAAGTGTTTTAAAACAAATGTTTCACTTGTGTTTCTAAAAAAAAGAAGTCATCTAGAAGGAGAAAGAGTATCAAAGCAGAAACAACAGCATGTATGAAAAGGAAACTTCAAAACAGCCATCATAAAAGATAGCAGACAGCACATCACTACATTATTTTCACAATACTATTTATAAAGTACCTTTAGAAGTCAGTAGAATCAATGTCAAAATATTAATAGCATGGGGTGGGATTGGATGGTTGGAAGGCTTTATTAAATACAAACCCTATACCCTACTTTCAAAAACTATTTTTTTCTTTTACTTTTTTGCTCATTTTTCAACATTTTCCAAATAAAGCAAGTAGGAAAAAGAAATACCTATACATGTGATTTCTGGGACAGTCCAATACAGAGGCTCTAGATATATAAAATGTTATCCACATATAGGACTGGTTAACCATTTCTAGCATTGCTCTAAAATTGAAGCTAGTATAAATTATTATTAAAAAGCCAGAACATTTCTAAATAGACCAAAATTTAAAACAAATTTCTGTTAATTTTTTAAACAGAAAAGGATAAAGTAGAAATTCCAGGAATCTACACACACCAATTCACAAGGAGTGTGGCAGTTTCTATCATGGCAGAAGGTGCTTTTTGGAAGCAAACCACCAAGGAATTTTTTCTGAACTTAAGATATATAATATGTGAGTTTAGCATAACCACTGAGTCACACTGCATTTTTTTATACCAGCTGTAAAAATATGTATTCAAAACAAACTCTTCTCAACTTTTTTTTTCTACAAATCTTCATAAAATGATGCAATAGCTTCCCTAGAACTTTGCTTCTTCAAGAATGCTTGCTTTAGTTTTTCATTTTCAGATTTTTTCCCCACTTAATACTACATCCTTCATAACACCTTACTATAGCTTGAGTCTTCTATCCTTCCAATAGGAGAAAACACCCCAGTACTTGACACAGTATATTCAAAAATAGCTGGAAAAGGCTTAGATAAGTGCCCTGGGCCTCCCAGTAATAATAATAAAAAACTCCAGTAATAATAAACTACTTCACAGACTCAATTGTGTCACAAACAGTAAAAAAATAGTGATAAATGAAACATATAGAAAGGATAAGTGTACACAGATCAAAGACAGAATTCCTACCCGTCAAGAAGTTCCCAGTTTGGTTTGAGAAAAGTATCCCACCAAAATCCAATATTATAGCCACATAATCACAGTGCTTACAACACAGGAGAAATGCCCTTCACTACACTGACAGAATCAGAAAGGAGTTCTCTTAGAATCTGGAAGTATGTAGAAAGATGAGCAGAACTTAGCCATCAAAGAGTATTCGCAGAGCAAAGAAAGCAACACAGGCTTGAAGAAACAGATCTCAAAACAACAAAGTAGGTTTGGGAACTGGAGTGGCTGATTTGATTGAAGCTCAAACTCTCATGATAGGAATTTAGACTCGACCACAAAATTAAAGGAAGACAGGGAGGCTTTCAGAATCAAAAACCTGAAGCGGGAACAGAAAAGTTAAAGATCCAAAGAGGTTAAATGGAAAAAGTAATTCAAATTCCAGAATGTTATAAAATGAAAACTCTGGTGCCAAACATAAGGATGAAATTAAAACGGGGTATCTTTCACTTGCTCTTAAAAAGACTCAATCTGTCCCATCATTGGAAAGACTTGATTTGAATCTGAATATTAAAGATGAATAAGGTGTCAAAGCTGATTTGTGTGTTGCTAAGCGATGCTGTACGCAAATGCTTCTTAAGAAAAAGCAGCACTTCCCGCAAACACCTTTTTCTAATGACAATGGAAACCACGTGAGCTTTTATTGTGGTGTCTATTACTCCTTAAAAGCCTCATCTCAAACAGAAGTAGTAAAACATGTATTTTTAAGTATTTAGCATTTGAAAATCAAATCCTATGAAGCTAACATACCAGCTTAAAGTAAATCCTCCATTAATGCAAGGCATTTTGTTAGAGAATATAACTTACCCGATTCTGGGCCAAAAGAACATGTGCTTTTGAAATGATCTGAATAGAACATTGTTGGGAGAAGTAGCCAGGGTTGGGATTAATGGTTTTAGATATATCCCAGTCCTGGTTAATCAGGTTTGGACTAACCAAGTCTGGGACATAAGAAAATTGGCTTCCTTTTAAGTTAGTTAATTTGGATACTGAGCCTTCACAAGTCATTTCTAAATGTGCTTCTAAATTCATCTAGGGGCCTCCCTGGTGGCACAAGGGTTAAAGACAGCACTATCAAGCTATCGCCAGCCACTGCAGCGCAAGTTCGATTCCAGCCAGGGAGCTAACCCACATGGCACAGCAGAACTCTTCTGCCTCGCTGGCTGCCCCCTCAGCAGTGTATTTCAATACATCTGCCTGTTCTGCTCCCCAATCTCCCTGGTGAATCCTCTCACCCCCTGCAACTCTGGCTTATACCCCAGTTCTTGTATGCATAAATAAATAAATCTTTAAAAAAAGAAAATAAAATAAACTTCATCTAAAGAAAGCCAAGAAGGTTGTTGCAGTGCTATAGATGTTTCTGGGTTTTGAGAATTCAGAACACAGTGGTGGTAATGGTGCACCTTCTTTTATTTGTAGCTGACCTCTTTACTTCCTCACTCTCTCCCCAACCTTTCTCCACAACAGCTTACCTCTTTATCTTCAGCACTTCTTCCATCCTGGATACATATATTTTCAGTACTGTCCAACCCTGATCCCAGTGTCCATCTAAACCTACTACTTGGTCATTTCCTATAGGCACCCAACCCACTTACTTAGCCCACCTCAACTACTACTCTGGCTGTGACTGAAGCAGGAACATGCGCTGTCTACCTCTTATTGCATCACCCCAGGGCCATCATGCAAAAAGGTAGTCCCTCCTGAAAAGAATTGGGGTAATGAAATGGTCTAACTTGTTATCAAAGGAAGACCAGAAAGGTTACCCAATATTTGGGAGACAGGAAGAGACAGTCTAAGAATTCTACTCATACTTTGGTACAAATGGAAGATTTAATAGGAAAATGTTTAAAAAGAACTGGTAAGGGAGTAGGGAAAGGAACTTGATTCTGAAACAGACAAGAAAATTGCAACTAGTAGAGAA